GTACGGAGTGAATACACCAAAGCAGAAGCAAGCGCCGTTGTTCAGACATATCAGAATGCAGACAAAAAACTGGAAAAACCAGCGACGCTCAGGCGTCCAGAAAGGGGAGCAAAACCGCAAGGTGGTGCCTGATTCAGCCATTACGCCAATAAAAGCAAAGTGGTGAAAATGAATTATAAATATGTGCCGCCTCCACACGTGGCCTTGAAGTAAAAAACAACACAAAAAAAAATAGAAAAGGTAGATATTAAAAGAAACAGAAACAAAAGCCAAAAACAACATCAGATGGGACATGTGCACACAAACGCAAAAAAAAAAAGAAACAAAGATAGTAATATATATATATAATGCCTGACAGTATCCTCTCTTAACGTCTACAAGTAATATTATAAACATTGAACAAAATTACATTGATTCAAGAGCATCAGCAGCAGCTTCCTTATTCGCTTCCTCTCCTTTAAGAATATGAAGCGGAGGAAGACGCCTTGTGGTTCCGGGAACAAATAAATTAATCAAAGTGGGACCCAAAAACACCGCCGTCGTGTCATCCGCAATCGCTGACGAAAGCTCATCACTTTTCTCTACCGTCTCAAGGTGCACTGCCACTGTGACACTCCCTCCCTCGTGTGTGACACCGAGTACGACTGATATTGTCCCAGGTGGCTGTGTTCCTGAAACTTCCACTTGTGCCACAACAGTAAGACCTGGTGCCAAAAAATGCCGCGGGTAGTGAACGCGCAGAATGGATCTGTACTCTGTGGGAAGAGTGACACGGTAGCGACAGGGGACAGTCGAGGTATTTGTAAGGGTTAAAGGTATAGCGTAGCGGTTTCCACTTAGCAGGCGTCCAAAGGAAAGCACTGAAGGTGTCACTGACAGCGAGGGAACGGAGCGGTATTCCTGTGGCGGCATCTCCTTCTTCAACATTGTGTGCATGAAGGGAACCCAACAGCCCTTATTTTTAATGGGCTCTGAGATATCCGCTGCAGGGGATGCTGCAAGGGCAAAAGGTGCATGCGTTCCCTCGGATGTCAAAATCCCTGTAGATGCATTGTCGTTCCTTTCATTCAAAGTAGCTTCCTTCACCTCTGCCGCGACGAGAATTCCAGTAGAACGCCAAAAATTATACTTTGCATCCCGCGTCGCACGTGCTTCCTTACGCGGTGCAACTGGACGTGTGCAGCTTCGCCCGGATACAGTATAAGCATAAAGTGGTTCAGAACGCCGCGTCTCGTACGAGGAATTCAGGGCCGTCACTTCTGCCGTTTCTACAAGAGGCAGTGTCTGCATTGCTTTCGACCACTTTTCTGCTGCAGACGAGGAAAGACGATCGTGACGCAGTAGTGTTGCCACGTCATCCGTCATTAAAACGGCTCCTTCTCTTGTTAAGAGAATGCGCATTGCATGCACGTTGTCCCCACATGGAGCCTCGGTTGCCTTGGGCAGCTGGGAAGTGAGCAAGAACTGCGCAACAGAACTTGCCATTGGGGTTGTGGACCCTCGCTCCTCCCGTGCGCCCTCATGAGACGACTCGAGGAAGATAATGTGTTCCTGAACGTCCCCCCCAAGAAGAGAAAGTCCCAGAAACAGGCGCGAGTAGGTTGGGTTGATGTCATTCTTCAAACGCTGAAGCAACACGTTTGAAAGCCATGGCATCATGAAGACCAAAACTCCATCATCGCCGTTTCCCCCACGCGTGCCCACCACTCCCCGCAAGAGGTCTTTGCTCTGTCGAACACCAGAAACCCGCAAACTCTCAAGACTTCCTTCCGCATACCGCGTGTAGCTGGATAATGTCGTAGGTTTCGGCTCCATTGTGGGACGGCAATTGGAATCCATGAGCTTGATGGGAAAGTTAAGCATGCAGCAATTGCTCTGGAGCGCCGTCTCCCCAAAATTCCCACCTGCTCCCTCATATCGTTGTAGAAACTCCTGATTCACAATCTCCGGCTCCTTGAACACATCCTCTCGGACTTCTCCACATCGCCCAAATGGAGAAACGTAGTAATGAGAAACGTCGGATGATGCCACAAGTCCACCAAAGGCACAGTCTATCGTGAAGCAATTCCCATTGGGCATGGTTCGCACATGCATCCAATGTTTTGTCCAGTCAAGGATTGCCTCACCACCACTTCGGTGGTGAATCATGTGAAGAGTCTGCTCCCCAACGTCCATAATTGCCTCCATGCGGTCAACCGTAAACCCCAGTCGACCGGCTTCAGAGTTAAATCGAATCTCTGGGAACCCCTTGAAGTGCCACGCATTTTCGCCGTCTGATCTGACACAAGAGCATCCTGTGCAGTAGGTGATCTTTTCTACCCCACCCCCAGAGCCCAACACAACCTGTACACCGTCTTGTCGCAACAACACCTGGGCACCTGTATGTGTGTCCACCTTTGCTGCGACCATAAGCGGTTCCAAATCCAAAGTTTGACCGTCCACCTTAACTATTGAACGCTTTCCTGACGCTGTCACATACAACATACTGCCCTCCGAGTTCACAGTTATGTAGTTTCCCAATACATCCAGAGAAACACGGTACCCCTCTACTTCTTGAGAATGTATCACAACGCATCCATCAACGTACACGGTAATGGCATCAATATGGGAAACCCGAATGCTTCGTAGACAGTCCCCCACACAAACATCTACCACGAGATCGGCCAACAAGAAATGACATAGACTTCGAACGGCAGCAAAATGCAAGCACTTTTCTGCGGCAGAAAATGTAACAGCTGTCCCATCTCGGAATAAGGCTCGCGCGATTACCATGGGTTTTGCCTGTTCACGTTCCTTGGGGACAGAAATCTGCGATATGAGTGCCTCTTCCAAGACAGCAAGCGTTGGCAGTGGGACTTTTTCTTTGGAGCTCTTTGAAGCTTTTGTTTGTTCCAGGCCGTCGTGTTGAGCCTTCGCCTCAAGTTTGGCAGCTTCCAGTGCTTTGGTGTACGTCGTCTGCTCCACTGCACCGGTGTTATCCGCAACAACCTCAAAGAAAAACTGCACTACATGATCGATGGTAAGAAAACCGCGTACATTACTTGATATGACAGCAGAAACTTCCTCTGTGGACGAATCCTCCATCGTCAAGTAACCAAAAACCAAATCCAGAGGGTCACTCACGCTACAGTGAACTTGGGGTGTGTTTCCCAGAATGCGCCGAACCTCAATAGTAGAACCGTCGTCAGTGAACATCCACTGCGTCTCCTCTGCAATGCAGTGAGCTCCAGTTCCTGACGTCATCAGCTCTTGCACCACATCGTCCTTTTGACAAAGGCGCCTCAAGGTGTTTTCATACGTGCGACGCCGTCGCAAAGCTGCGTCAGCTACCTGTATGGCATCAACCGGTGGGGGCTCCTGAACCTTCTTCCGTTGCGAGGCCTTTTTTATTACTTGTTGTTTGTTGTTTATCCCCCTCCATCAGCATCAGCCACACGTTCTTCTTCCTCTTCTTCTCCCTTCGCCACTTCCTCCTCCTCCTCCTCCTCCTCCTCCTCCTCCTCCTCGCTTGGTTCTTCTTCGTCGCTGTCAGGTGGAGGCGGATTGTAATACAACCCCTCACTAACACAAAACTTCTGCCAGTTCACATAATCTGCAAAGGTTGCGGACCCACGGAAGTTGTATACAGAACCCTCTGTACGAGACGATCCATCCCCACGATATAGCACCTCCAATTCGCAGCAGCCAACGTTCATACGTGCACTTCGCCAACTACTTGATTTACTCCTTTCCAAGACTTGCCTAATCGTCCCCCGTTGTCTTGAGCTAATAAAGCCGCGGGAGGTCATCTCTGCCACCATTTGCTTTGCTCGTTCCACCTCAATACCAAACGACTGAGACATAAGAGAAACGACAGCCTTTATTATGTTCATGGACGTGTTATCAACGTTATCACTATTGTTTGGAGACACGACGGCGCTGGAATCCCTCATCTGTGACAAAAGCACCGGCCCAAATGTGGTGTTTGTTGGAGACATGGAGTTTGGAGAGCAGGACCCTGTAGGACCCACTTCCTCAGTTCCTGAAAAAAACTGCTGGTGCGTGTCATCCACGCCCCGCGTCGCAACATCAAATATGTAGTTCACAAAATCGTTGGACTCCTTCTTGTCTTGTAACATTTGCTGTATTTCACGCTTCGCAAGGGTTGGGAACGGCTCTAGGAGTTCGGGATCTGTCATGGCAAGGGTTGCTGCCACCTGCAAGATGCATGCGGCGCGAAAGGCCTGCTTATTGAAGTAACCCTGCTTCCAAGCTGAAAGAATGTTATCGTACACAGAGCGATGAGCAACCACACCTTTCATATTTTTGGGATCAACATCAAAAACAGGAATAGATTCAACATTCGTAGAGGGTATCACTGGTGTTGGAGTGGCACCCTTCTTTTTGTTCACGAGCCTTTTCTTCCCCCGTTCCTCCACCGCTGCCGGTGCTGCATCCATTGTCTGAGGGTAACGCAAGGGAACATATGAAGGAACATCCACTTGTACCCTCTGCTTTTTCCATTCGCAGAATCCGATGTAGCTTTCCTCAAGCATGACAACAGCATCCACTATCGCGCTAAAGACAGCCCCTTCTGTGCCCTTCAAACGATAAACTACATCAGGCGCCGTATTCCCCACAAGGTTAGGGGCCGTAGGTGCAGCGGCTACATTACTACTGATGGCAGTCGGTACCACTTCTGTTGGAACCTCATATGCGTGAATGCAAATGCTCTTTAAATAGGTCAGGGGATTATTCGTCTCCTTCAGGTGCTGCTGTATTTCAGCCGACAGTGTCAATTGGCTCTTTTCTTCAATCTGTCCGCTCCTTTCCTTGGGCACAGTCCTCATTGTTTCCTTCTTCTCCTTACCCTTGGACAACTCTGAAACCTGCAGCGGTTTCTCAGCGGCTGTAGACCCGCTGAGCGGCACACGGCTCGACAACGAAATCACCGCATGAAGAGAGAGACCACTGTTGTACAACTCCGTCACCTCCTCCACATTGGTCGGATACGTCGTAAGAAACACGTAGAGTCGTTCGCGGACGTCGCCCTCTTCACTTGAAGTGCCTTCAATAGCAGCCTCCTCCATCTCTTTTAGTGCCGCTGCCGCTGCCTCTGCCTCCGTGAGTCCGTCCTCCACGTAGAGAGACACCAGCGCCGCGTACTCCGCCTCGCGTGCCTGCACCTCTTCGCGCCGCTGTAGCTCTCGAGCGACTGCGATGCCCACGTAGTCCTCGTACAACTGCGCTACGCTAACTTTTGCGTTGTCAAGTTGCTTGCTTTGCCTTTTAGCGTTTCGTCCTCGCAGATGCGGCGTTGCGGAAGTGTTGCTCTTGCGTTCCAAGACGTAGAAGCCTTTCGCGAAGACGGGGTCCCGCATCACGGCCTCGATAAGCTTAGAAAGACATACATTATTCCTGGTCTCCACGGACAGTGTGAATACAAGAGGATTGAAGCGCCTGAGGGCCTCCGCTTGCAGCTCCGCATCAACGGCGGCCGGGGCCGTCCCTCCACTCGCCATGCGTGTGAGGCACCAATTCAAACTGCAGCCAACCACAGCAACCACCTGTGGTTCCTTTGTTTCATTAAAAACAGCGCAATGAGTGGGTGTGTGAGGGTGAGAACAGACGAGTGCGTCAGAGAAGAGAAAGCGGAAACGATACAGGAAGACAGCAAGCTGGGCAGTGCAGTATTCTGAAGAAAAAAAAAAGACCACATACAATACATCATATATATTATATACACACACGATGTTGACGCCCTGGTCAAAAAGGATATTGTTTTGATACGCGTTGCGATTTTAGAGCTTCAACGCCCGTCCGTGGTGCGCACAAAAATGATTAAACGAGGCGGCGGCAACAATGTAGCTCAAATGGCCTTGCTGTTCAGGGGGGGAGAGGCCACAAGTGTCCAAGCAGTAAGTGGAACAACAACCAGTGCCACCCTCGTATGCCGCGTAAAAATGAATGCAACCAGGCCCACTGCAATAGGCATCGTTGCGACGCGCGTTGCATCCTCACGATTACTTAGCATGGTATGAATAGACACAAGGAAGATACGGGACCACTGTTTCACAGACTGCTTAACGTGACGGTGCAGTGTAGAGGCAAACGCCTTTTCTGAGGCTTTGAAACCGTCCTCCGCCACCGAGGAAAACATCAACTCCAACACAGCGGCGGAAAAATCTGTAAACAGCAGTGTAGTGCAAAAGTACATTGCAAGACCGTTGTCAGTTACCCAAGGACTGGTCCATGCGCCCACAGAAAGAAATGCAGCACAAACATGAATCATCCACTGGTTCATTTTGCCATATCGTTTCACTACAAAAGGAGCCAGAACCGCCTGAACGATTATAACAACTGCCAGATGCAGTCCAATAAAAACATAGTCCAAGTGAAAGATTTGACGGTCAATGAAAGGATACATGCATTGGATCATAGATCCATAGCTTGCGCTAAGAGTGCTAGGCGCAAAGGCAGGAATCCAGTGAGAACTTTGTTTCATCAGCCAATTTTTGTACGCATTCACTGTCGGGACAGCGGCCACAGTCTTTGATCTACATTTACACTTGAAGGAGAGAAGGATGAGCGTGAGAGCAGCCGCACATTCCATGCTTGCCAAAATGTTAGTTGCAAATGCTACATCCGCAACGTAGTCGCCAAGAGCTCCACCGAAAAGCATTGCGACGATAAGGCTAAATATAACGACTTTCTTTGCGTCATAGCCCTTTGATGCACCGGAGAGTTCATGCACAGCAAGAGCATTGAACAGTACAGTGTGACGAAATAAACCGTTTATCAGACGTGCAAACAAATACAAAAACAAGGAGTGGTCACGAAGTGCGTTTGCACGGACGAAGATACTGATCGCTGTGACAAGTAGTGTTGTCGCGTATGCAGTAACACCGTTGATGCGCCTAGCAAAGCGGTCGGCAACGAGTGAACTCCATAACTGTGGGAAAAACAAAAGCGCTTGATCTAGTGTCAAGGACCAGAGAGACAGTGGAATAGACGCGCTGTAAAGTGTTACAAAAGGGACCGCGGAAGCATTGGCAAGGGTATCAATACATGTCGCAAGGCTCAGGACAACACCCATGTAACTCCGCCATGCCCCTGCATCCTCCGAGAACTCCGCTTGTTTGCTCCTTTTGAAGGAGCGCCTTCGCCGTTTTGGAGACTGCGTTTGTTTTGCAAGGGCATCAACCATTTATATATGAAGTGTCTCTCCACGTGAATAGAATATCCTACCCTTCTGCACGCACTGGTACTCCTAGGTCCTTCGCGTTATCTTTCTCTTTATTCCCTTTTCAGTTGTTTTGATTATTGTTAAAATACAAGTCAGCGCAAAATAAGAAAATCAATGTCAGCCTGCAGGACCAAACGTAGGTTTAAAAGGTCACACCAGTCCACGTCATTAATGCTGCACACGGCACAACACACGCATCACCCGCAAGCCCTACAGTGGCACCATATATCAAATCTATACATCCGAAGCTATACACAAACACACGCTCATTCATAGGGACACACTCATGGAGGCAGAGAGAGAGAGAAATATGTATATAGCAAAAAATCGGAGTTGGTCATCTAACACTTTCGTTCGAGTTGGCTAAGAGCCTCTGCGACCGACGAGGTGAGTGGTTGGTAATCATCGGCTTCTCGAGCAATGAACTGCAGTCGATCCTTCGCCACCAGGAGCTGGCGCCTCCCCACCGGGTGCTCCGCGACGTTCACAATGGTCTTAAGCACATTAACCAAGACATCACGCTCTTCTTCCTTCATGAGAAGCTTCAGAAGAAGCTCAGCAACATTTTCGTCTACCGCCTGCTGTTTCCCAGGTTCGTATATAGTGAGCTGCGCCACCGCCCCTGTGACAGCCGTCCGCACCCGCAGATTGTCGTGCAACATGTAGGGCTGCAAAGCCACCAGAGTGTTGTGGTTCACCGCAGCCTTTTTACCCAAACGGTACAAGGCAGACTGAATCACCACCTCAGCAGCCTCGGCCACAACGAAGGGGTCATTTCGCCTCAAAGCCTCTGTCACCTCCGCCATTCCGTCTGCCTGTATAAACTGAATAAAGGCCTCCTTGACGACAAAAATAGTCACGAGGGCTGAGCACGCCGTTGCCGTCACTCGATCCTCCTCATGCCGCAGCAGCGCGATGCAACGCTCAATAAAGCCGTACTTTACAAGACGCAGCGTTGCCTCATACGCATTGTACGCCGCACGACACGCTATTGTCACGCGCAGTACAAGTATGATAACCTCACTTGAAGGATCGTCCAATGCTTTTAGCAGCTCACAAAGCGTGGCCTTCTCATCATCCATCGCAAGAAACATGTCTAGACCTTTTGTCTCCCGCAGCAAGAACGCAAGCGCCTCTGCCGCCTTACACCGCATTTCCTCGGACTCATCGTGGTGAAGCGTGCAAAGTATTACATCAAGAAACCCGTATCGAAGACTACAAATCACATTCTCCCGCTGCAGCACGTGCAGTTCCAGAAGATGGTTCATCGCTTGTCGACGCTTGTCAACGCTGTCGTGCAGCATCCACGCGCGCACCTTTTCGTACTCCATTTCCCCAAAAGGTCTAGTAAAGACGTCTGGATCCAATGTCCGTGGGTAGCGCTTCATCTCGTGCATCATGATGCACCGCTGATTACGCTCATAACGCAATTCACCGCAAGTGCTCTCGCCGGGGGGCGATTCCCCTTGCAGCCGACGAATGACAGACCACATGCAGTGCAAGACACCACTGGACTATGCGGCTTCTGTACGCCCAGAAAGTCCAGAACACGAGCCACTACAACAAGATAAAAAACAAAAACAGGGACTTGGAAAGGAAGAAAAGGCCTCCGTTGCACACTCACACTCACGCAGAGCAGGCCAATTACTACCAATATTACTATCGACAAAGTTCCTCCACCAGATTCACTTCTCTTTTCTTTCAGCTGGTTTTGGTGGCGGCCATGGCGTCCCCTCAGATGCCACGCAGGAGAAGACGTGGAACACCTTTCACTGACTCAGCACCTCCTCTCCCCTCCTCAGCTGTTGCCGCACAAAGACAAATGAGGCGGACAGGCCGAGATGTGTGTGCGGAAAGTTCGGCCCGCGCCACATACCAGAAAAAAAAACAAAAATACGCGAAACATCAACCAAAAGAAAAAAGCACGCGGGTAGAGACAGGCCGCCCCTGACCCCATCACCGCGACGCACCACCCCACCGAAAGCAAAGAGGAAAATGCGCACAACTACGGCGATGCGCAGCAGTCAACAATGATGTCTATCACACCGCCAGAGCCACCTTCCCCATCCGCGGCAGCACTTTTCACGTATCCATAAAAACCTTACGCATGCAGAGTCCCATCAAACAAAAAAAAAAGATGCGGGTGCGTAAGGCAACAACAACAACAAGCAAACAAAAAAAACGTGGGCTCAAACAACAGCTTCCTCTGAATCAGGAAGCCAGCAAAACCAAACGCAACCTACCGAAAAGGCCGAAATGCATCATACATTTGCTTCTCCATCACCTCCTTGTGAAGCGATAAAGCACAAAAAGGTGTCTTCTACAGAACGAAACGTGGAAGGTTTGTAATCCGCAAAAAAAAATTCCTGCCCACCCGTCTGGCAAGAGTAAAGGGTCCCGGTCGATCGTCGGTCTCGGCCAGCTCCAAACGCCGTGCGGCCCAACATGACACGTGTAATGGGAAGTTCGGCAAACGCAAACGATGTGGTCATCATGTCGTCGTCATAACGTTGAGGGGGGCAAAAGGGGCGTCCGAGCAACGACTGCGCGTGCGATACCCCCCTCGCAAAAAGCGGGTCCAATTTGCTTTCGTCCGATGCCAAAAGGTCGCTGCGTTGACCAAGCAACGTGGACGTCCCGGTAGTAAGATCGTGGGCAACACAAAGAACGTCCTCGCGTGGATTACCATTCGAGCAGCGCTGCGGTGCCTCGCACTCTGCCACAAGCGAGGAAAGCTGCATCATTTCATGTTCCCGCTCCGCTAGTTCCTGTAGGCAAACACTCTCCAGCTCAGCCCACACCTCGTCACCTTCTGTCGCTGCGGAAACGGAAAAATTCTTCCCGTTGCCAATGAGCATCGTCAAAGTCACATCCCCCACAGTCACAGAAGCTGAACGGTAGAATAGTCCGGTCACCTCCACTTCCTCCCTCTCGTGCTGCGCAAGACGAACCACGTGCGCCGGAAGATACCGCCAAGCGAGGCACAGAGATGACCGGCGAAAGTTGGAAAAAACCACACGACTCCATAGGCGTGGAAGAATTCCGCCGTCCTCGCTGCCGCCAAATGTATCGTCAGCCAGAGAAGCCGAGGGAAGCTGGAGATCCGCGTGCCTGGCGTGGGCATCAAGACGTGCCTCGACACTTAGCAGTGAGGTTAGGTAGGGGTGACAGTCAGTCAGTATCACCTGGGCACCCACCAGAATCATCGTTGCAAAGCAGCCCCCAAGTGTTCTCATCGACGCAATGGCATTTCCAAAACTCCAGCGCAGCTCCAACGCCAGTGCAAAAGTCCGCCGCGACAATGGAGCGGCTTGCAGAAAAGGGCAGATAAAATGTGACACACCTGAAACACTTCCACGATCGTTTCGCTCAGATCGACCCTTATCGGTTCCTGGTAAAGACAACAGCTCCCAATCAGGCCGTAATGACGACACATAGCTCGAACCTTGGGGACCGAATAAAAGTTCATTTTTCATGTAAAAAAGTTGGTTTCCGATAGATCGGCACCATCGTCGGAATGACTCTGGCGACTGACCGAAGACGGCGCCGAAATCCACGCGGGGTCCCTCTCGCATTTCAACCACATCGAGCATACATTGTAACGCCAACCTAATATGCGCATCTGGCACATCTTCAGGAAATCCAAATAAGACTGTCGTTGGACAATCGCACCGATCCAAGTTCTGTTCGCCCGGGTTCATCACCATGAGAGGTGTGTTATTCAGTGCCAACAGGACCAACGCCACCTTCACACCGTCGAGGCACACAATACAGCAGTCACTACCCCATGTATCATGTGCTTTGCAATCAGAAATACAAAACGATGTCACAAACTGCATGAGAGGTCCAAGAAATCCACGACGGAGGGCCTCTGGAAAGGGGCTAAAGGGAGAGTCCAGGAAATCCTTGGCATCAGAGACGTTGGGCTGGGAACCAAACACCCAGCGTGAGTGACTTAGGTAGATCAGCTCATTGCCTCCTTCGACGCAGGACTGATGACAGAAAATGCACACAAATCGCAAAAGTGACTCCCGAAGAGGCAGTGAGTGAAGATCCAAAGTACAAGCAGGCCTAAAACAGCAACGCACGGCTTCAAATTTGATCAAGCTACGGTAGTTTGAGTCCGCAGGCCGCAAGGTGCCAAGCTCCACAAGTGGAATGGCGTACCTTTGAAGAGCCTCCTGGCGATCGCAGAGAAAAAAAAAGCAGAGTGAGTTAAGAATGTAGTCTCCTGCAAGAGCGCCCTCCGCATCTACGTGATACTGCATATGCTCGTTAAATATACAAAGCAACTCCACTAACGTCACCTGCGGTAGGGGAAACCGCCGAGTAGAGCCACAGCAAACGATAAGAGCTTCTCGTAAAAGCTCCAAGTCCTTTGCACGTCCACTTTTCTCCACTGCATCAAGGTGTCTAAATGCATGCTGCACCGAATCGTTTTTTGCATCCACGAGCACAGGGCGAGAAAATTGATGTTGATGTGAGTTCACAGCACTCCCGCGTGCCCCATCCTGCAGTGTCGTGGCTGTGACATGCCCACCTCCCCCTTCCCCCACCAGTGGTGCACTAATGTACAACATGTGGCGCCAAAGGATTTTATTGGCCTCTACTGTCGTGTGCATTCGCGTAAGACTGGAGACACAAGGGTGACGAGGACTATTTTCTGCGACGAGGCAAACACGGATACCCTTCACCTAAAAAAAAATAATAAAAAAAAAGAGGGGGCAGCAGCAAAGACGTTACGTGGAAGAAGAAAAAAAAGCAAAGGCCAAGCGTGCCACGCAGCACAACAAACAAACAAAAAAAATATATATACACCCCATCCCAATAAAAGAGCACCATAAAAACTGTACCCCATTCCCCATTACCGCCACAAGGAAAAACACATATACCACAAGACACTTTCCCCAGGCCTTCTCCTTCTAGAGGCAGCATTTATAACCCTTTCCTGTGAGCATAAGCGTTTGTTGTGCGGTGCTCATCCGGAGCATTCCGTCAGGTCCGTATATGCGGCCTTCGCTGAGAGATCTCGGCTGCCGTGTGCTGCCCAAAGACTAAAGGCCTCGTACAAAAACCATGCTTCAATACGAATACGGTCCGGATGGTAGAAATAAAAGGTAATGATCCAGACGGACAAACTGGGAAAGATCAATTTGGAAACGTGCGCAAAAAAAACAGTGATGCACGGGCCACAACAAAGTCAGAGGGACAGCAAGTCACAATCTTGTGTAGACGTTTCTCTGGAATGTCAGTGAACTTCTGGAATAATGCCCACCCGTCCGGTTTCACTCGCAACCACAAATCACACGGCTCGGTGCTCTGAACGGTAGTTACATTCATACAGTTAACATAGCCCACACGAGCCACTTCCGGCTTCCGATGAATAAACTCAGGCACCTTGCTGAATGGCACTAAACGCCGCATATATTTGAAGAGAGGAGGAGGTCCACTCTCTGCAAGTTCAGACTAAGTGAGGCACCGTGGTTGACACAGTTCATGTTCAAAGACCACCACGCTCTCAACGATGAAAAGAAACTAGTGCAAAACAATATTTGTCGCTCTGCTCATTTTTCTAAAACAAGCCGTGAGCAAAAAGAGCATCCATCATGCAACAATTTTACGGTGTACATCACTGGCGATTCACAGTCACTTTTCCATGCCGATACAAATTTCGTCTGAAGGCCGATGATCTCCAACGCGGGGGTCATCCACCATAAGATACGCGGCCTCAGCAGAGTGTGCCACCAGATGCCCCCCATACGTCAATTTTGAAACAGCGGGTGTCCACAGAAACACAGTGCGGAAAGCACCTTCGCTAACACGCCCCAACTGAAGACCACAAGTAACCAAAAAGTTAAAATTCCCAATAAAATAGTGCAGCGACATGAATGAGAGGAGGGGTAGGGCCCGTGTTATAAACCTTAAAAAACAAAGAGGCGGAAGGAGGACTAAAGCCTCATCGTATAAGAAGACAGGACAACAAATGGCCCATGCATCGCCATTTCAGTCAACCTTTTATTTTTTTTTCTTTCTGGCTTCCAGCAATAAATAACTACGACTGAAATAAAAGCCAAAACAAAAAAAAACAAAGAGACATGATCTTTTCGTTGTTGTGCTTGATACCACCGTTGTTGATTTTGCTTCACTTACTGCTCGGCATGCATTTGCTGCTGCAGCCGCTTAAGCGCCTCCTGACGCTCCTCAGCGAGGAGCCTTCGCTGCATCGAGGTGGTCTCTTCATATGTCAAGAAGAAGTTAGGCGGTACGTCGTGAAGCATACGCTGGATTTCCGCCTCGCAGAGCGATCCCCCAAACGTCTGGCGCACAATCGTCTCTACAGGGACTGGACTGTGTCGGTGCTTCTCGCCAATGGCACGTGCCGCATCTCCGTACGACTCCACAGCCCTTTCTCCTTCCTCTACGCCCCACTCACCGGTGTTCGGAGAGGCGTGGCACTCTGCCCACTTGTCTGCTGTCTGCTTGGACGCCGCTTCCGGTGATATCGTTATCTGACAAATCTGCTGCTCCACCTGCCGCACGGCTTCCTCAGCAGCATCCTGCTCCGTCGTGCCAGAAGAGGCGTCGCCCACAGCCTCGCGTCGAGACCTTTCCGCGACGTACAAGGCGTGGCGGCCGCGAATGGCCGCACCCCCGTCCGGCAGGCGGCCCAAAAGAGTTGGGTGGCTTAACAGCCTCTCACAGCGTTGAATGTGCGCGTGCAGTGCAGAAGGCGCCATTTTTCGTACATCATCGTCGGCGTCCATTACCGTCCTTCCAAAACTCGAAAGAAACTAAAGAGGCAAAAGTAAAATAAATAAACGAGACTCCGGCCGGCATCACCAAGCTTCGTCAGGAGGAGGGGGGGAAGGGACGCGTCATCTTGGCGTCCAAACGAAGCAAAAAGCAAAGAGCATGACACGAACAGCAGCGCAAGCGACAATAGCTCCATCTTCTCCCATGCAATGGCATGTTCTCCCGCTTCTACGGCTCCACGTCATGTGGCCAAAACGGGAAGAGCTTTCGAGTGTTGTTATAAATAGTAACCGCCAGACTCTCCAGAGACGCCACCTCGTCGCGATGGAGCCCGTAGAGCACCTCCAACACCCGCAGCAAGTGGCACGGCTCACACCTCGACTTAACAACTGCCCCCTCCTGAAACTTTTCCTTGCGGCACGCGGGGAAGTAGGGGCGTAGCAATGCATCTGATACCCCGCCGCACTTCGCCACTTCCTGCAAAACTTTATGGGAGGCGTGTGTGTTACGAATCTCGCACCAGGGCCCGTCAGTCTCAATCATGAGTCGATCCAGTGGAATAGCCTTCGCAACAGCGAGGTTATCCTCCATCTTCAAGCTGCAGCCGTTCACACCGATAAAAAGTCCAAGGTCAAGCAGCTGTTCCAAATCCTCCCTGGATCCGGTGAAGCTGTGCACAACCCCGCCCTTAAAGCAATGACGGTGCTGCGACAGAACCTCAAGAAAATCGCCCCCGGTATTACGGTCATGCAAAAAGAGTGGCAGCTGAAATTCTTTAGCCAACTCTAACTGTTTTACAAAGTAAGGCATCTGCACAGATTTCTCACAAAAAAACAACCGATCGTAGTCCAGGCCCACCTCGCCAATAGCTGCGACACACCCACCCTCACGCTGCACCGTATGCTCCGCCACCAGCGCTCGCAGCTCATTGTAGTACCCCTCAGGATCCTTTGTAAACTCACCGCACCTTGTCGGGTGACAGCCAACGGTACAGTAACACTGTAACGATTTGGAGCTATACTTCTTGCAGAGTTCAATGGCCTCACGACTTTCCTTCAAACAGCCGGCGGTAATGAGGAGGCAACGCACGCCAACGGCAACTGCGCGTGCAAGCACCGCGTCAATATCAGCCGGATGCTTCTTTTGGCCGTGGTACACACCGCGGTACATGGGGTCCGTCAGATTTATGCCAATGTCAATCATCGGCAAACGCGAAAAAAAAGGGACCGACATAACACAACACTGCGGCTGCAGAAACTGCCCACGGGCCAACCACACGTGTAATGAACGGAGAGAGACACCACACACAAAAAAAAAAGATAAAAAAACGCCACGGTAAATAACACATCAGTTGCCTAAATAAAAACACATTCATCGTCCACCTCCCCACCCACAGGAACCATGCAGTGAAAAACATCCACAACAACCAAACACCACAAAAAAAAAGCACGCAACATGTAACCACAAGCAGCAACACAAATGCAAAACATTCAGCAAAAACACAAATGAAAAACAAAAAATCATTCAAAGCAAAAAAAAAAAAAACACATGCACCGAAGCAAATAATAAAACTCCCAACTCCGGTCCCTTCTCCCGCAACGGCACTCATCGCCTCAACACCAGGGACAGCTGGCGCGCTTATTCTCTCCCGTCCTTCGCTGCGCCTCCACCTCACGCGCACGCTCATCCCCCTCCGCTAGTGCGCAATAACACCTGCTCAATCGATGCCTACGACACCCTGTAGTCCGTGACGCCCAAAAACGTATTGTTCTCCTGCAAGACGCGAAAGGTGTTGCTAAGCGACGTGTCACTCGGCAATGCGCACACAAACCTCTGCCTTTTAAACTCATCTAGTTTGGCGAGAGGAAACATCTCGTTCACAAACTCAACAACTGATTCACACATGCTCTCATCCTCAAGGCGAATGCTCATCTCGTACCCGCCTCCAAACCCATTCCTCAGGTGTGTCTTGTCACCGATGCACCGCAGCGCACCACCACCATGATCGCCACCACATCCACCAGCACCCCCACCTCCAGATGGTCCGTCATCAGAACAACGGAGTAGTACTTCGCCGTTGTTTCAATCATAGTCCACAATCCACAACGTGCAACGGGGTCCATGCCAGCCAAGGCCTCGTCAAAAAACACCACGCGCGGGCCGCACACCAACGCCATCGTCACACTCCGTTTCCGCCGGTCGCCCCTGCTCAGCTCGTGCGCAAGTGTACTCCGATACTCCACCAGCCCACACAAACGTAACCGCCCAGAGACACCTTCGTCGTGTTGTCTCTCCGCAATGCAACACAGTCCTGCGCACAGCCGCAGGTGCTCCTCCACCGTCAGAAAATCCAGGCAGGCGTCAAACTGTGGGTAGTAGCCAACGTACTGCAGGGCCGCAGCGCTCTCCTCCACAACATCATACCCACAGACGTACACGGATCCGCCCGTGGGGAGAAATTCCTGGCATAGAATCGAAATAGTTGTCGTCTTCCCCGCGCCGTTCGTACCAAGCAAGCCAAACCCCTCTCCGGGAAGAATATCGAGCGTGAGATTCCGTACCGCAACTTTCCCATTGGGGCACTCTTTGCGTAGGTCACACACTGTCACAACTCCCTCCACAAC